GGGATGGCATCTCTGGTATCGCCTCATCCTCGTAACGTAGCACTTTTGGCATCTCCGGAGCATCAAACGAAGGAGCTCTGTTATTGTTTGAGAGCTCTGGTAGGTGAAAGCTTTCCTTCTGTGATCCCCTGTGCCTCTCGCTTTCTTCCTGCTTTTTGTCATCGTCCTGTGAAACCATAATTGCAGTGAATAAGTGAATCCATTACACATTTTGACAGGTATGTATGTGATCAGGGTTTAATGTAATAAATGTATCTTGAGGCAGATTTACACATCAGTAACAAAGGTATTGAGTTAGGGGCACATCACACCTTTTTTATTAGCTTGCTGACAAAAGGTGTCTCAAATGCAGGGAGTTCTGGGGTAGAAGGACAGTTATTAGGGCGAGGAGGAGAATCGAGATAATTTTTTTCTTTCAGTGGTGGAGAGGACGGGATCCGGTGCTTCTCAATCTTAAATCCTGGGGTGCAAAACACAGGAGGCTCTGGGGATTCCAGACTCTCTGAAATAGTTAAACACAAACATGCAAATCAATAAGAAACTTTATAGCAAATATAAAGAGCCAGCTTCTTTTGTAAACAGTTAGTAAAAGTAACTACATATTCAGGATTTCAGACACCAATGCCAGGTTTCACAGACAAAACTTAAGCCTAGTCTGCATGTTTGAGCCGTCTTAAATGAAATGAACTTGCAGTGACATACACTCACCTAAAGGATTATTAGGAACACGATACTAATAAGTAGTCATCAGGGGATGGATATGGCCATAAAGGGATGGCCATGGTCAGAAACAATGCTCAGGAAGGAAGTGGCATTTAAAAGATGCCCAATTGGCACTAAGGGTCCTAAAGTGTGCCAAGAAAACATCCCCCACACCATAACACCACCACCACCAGCCTGCACAGTGGTAACAAGGCATGATGGATTCATGTTCTCATTCTGTTTACGTCAAATTCTGACTCTACCATCTGAATGTCTCAACAGAAATCGAGACTCATCAGACCAGGCAACATTTTTCCAGTCTTCAACTGTCCAATTTTGGTGAGCTCTTGCAAACTGTAGCCTCTTTTTCCTATTTGTAGTGGAGATGGGTGGTACCCAGTGGGGTCTTCTGCTGTTGTAGCCCATCCGCCTCAAGGTTATGCGTGTTGTGAGCTTCCCATATGCTTTGTTGCATAACTTGGTTGTAACGAGTGTTTACCTCAGTCAAAGTAAGTTGCTCTTCTATCAGCTTGAATCAGTTGGCCCATTCTCCTCTGACCTCTAGCATCAACAAGGCATTTTCGCCCACAGGACTGCCGCATACTGGATGTTTTTCCCTTTTCACACCATTCTTTGTAAACCCTAGAAATGGTTGTTAGTGAAAATCCCAGTATCCGAGCAGATTGTGAAATACTCAGACCGGCTCGTCTGGCGCCAACAACCATGCCATGAGTTCAGGAGATTGTCTTGACCAGGACCACACCCCTAAATGCATTGAAGCAACTGCCATGTGATTGGTTGATTAGATAATTGCATCAATGAGAAATTGAACAGGTATTTCTAATAATCCGTTAGGTGAGTGTATCTTAAAATATGTCAGTGCCATTGATTTATCTCAAGATGCAAACCATTAATGTTTTTCTTTTCTAAGGCATGTGTATAAAAGCTTAAATGTCCTAATTGAACTAAGGCTTAAACCTGGCTTAATCTAAACCCTGTCTGTAAAACTGGGCACAAATGTAATAGTTAAAGAATCAATTATTCAAACAACCATATAGGTTAACTCTTAATAATAATAAAAAGTCTAAATGATTTACCACTGGCGACATCTTTGTTAGGCACAGACGACAGAGTTCTTTCACTGTGTAAGACACAAAACACACACATATTAATGTGTCTATCACTTCAGTGCACTACCATTCAAATTTGACAGCAGTAAGATTAGATTAGTATAATTTTTTTTTTTTTTTACTTTTCCAACAAAGGCACATTAAAATCGAACAAAAGTTACAAACAAATTACATGCAAAATGCAAAAATTACATGCAAATTCAGCTTTGAGCACAGGAATAAATTATATTGAATTGGAAAACAGTTATTTTTAACAGTTTACAAATTTTTTAGTTATTGCAGCCTCGGTTAGCATTCAGCAACACTTTATTTAAAAGTGTCTTTGTTAAACATGTTACAGGTAGTTACTATAGTAATATAACTATAAATTATACATAATTACATGCAACTAACCCTAAACCAACTCCTAATCCTAACCTTATAGTAAGGACATGTAGTTAATTAATATTACTCACTACTTAAATGTATAATTTAAGTAACAGGGACAACTTAAAATAGTTACCGGGACTTCTTTCAAAATCATAAAAAATAGTGTATGTTGTGTGTATGTAAATACAATGTATTTGTAACAGCTGGCACAGACAGAGACATGTTAGATGATGTCACACACAATCACTGTAATGATTACTTCACTTGAATCTTTATCTTTTTTTACTTTCAAATTTTTTTGAAAAATGTCATAAGGTTGTAAAGATCCTAGCAACTTAATTACTCCAAAAGATGTAAATTCAACTTAGACAGCATTAAATCTACTCATGAGGCTGAATTTTGTGACTTAAAAATTTGAAGCACATTTTCAAAGTGGCATATTTAGTCTTTTCAAAAGACAATCATTCTTGTGATTTTGCATTCACAACCAGACACAGTAAGCAGCATACCTGCTTGTCTTTGGTGGTTTTTTGTTGAACAAGTCCATGGTAAAATCATTGTTCCAGCACATGGTATACTCAGAGATGCCGAAGTCCTCTAGTCTTGGGGTCGGAGCATCTTCCTCCATACTCAGAGAGCACTTGGGTGTCTTTGGCTGCGGTGGATGCAAGCTCATGACAAACGGTGGAGGTGACAGAGCCACAGCTGGGACAGGAGCGGCACTGAGAGACTGCTCTGCTTCACCAAGCACTTTTTGGAGTTGAAGTGCAGACAGACCAAAATCAGAGAGCTTTGGGGTTCGCAGCTGGTCAACGGGTGGTGGCATCTTTTCAGGCGTCTCTGACTGCTCAGCATCCTCACAAACCCCTTGTCTCATTCCTTCATCTTCCTGTGCTGCATCTTTCTCTGCTTGCTCCTTTGTCTCTTTTGTACCGTTAATCTCTAGAAAAGCGAGCAACATTTCCATTGACATATATGAATTGTAGCAAAGCCTTAATTGAAAACAAAACAACTATTTCAACCATTAAATAGAGATAAATGCTATAAAATCCAAGCAGAGGCAGCACTGGTGTGTTAACATTATCAAATGTGATAAACATTTACCTATACACTCCTGTCTTGCTATTCGTGGTCTGTAGCCATACTTCTCATAGTGTTTCTTCAGCATGTCTATGTCTTCTGTGGTCCTCTGCTTCAGCACCAAGCATCTTCTGATGAAGTTCCTCAGCTCCGTACTTGTATCATGTGTAGCAATCTGATCTTGAACTTGCCGCTGCATATGATTTTGTGACAAATGTAGCCCATATTTAAAAATACACTAAACTCAAGGACTGGCATAAGTGAGCATACACATACCTTCAGTGTTCTGACTTCAGAGTGCAGCTGATACAGTGCTTGAGCCCCATTCTCTTCATCCTCTGCACGACCACAGACAACAGTCAACGGATGCACAACTATGACTGGATCATTTATAAAACATTTAGCTACTGCCAATTTACCATCGTCGTCTTTGAGGTTCTGACTTGTATGGAGTAGATAGTTGCTTTCAGTCTCCAGATAAACAGTAAGTTTCCGAAGCTTTGCAAAGAAGCGCTCTGAAGGATTCATGCTTAATGTCAAACTGAAATGACAATTAATAACTATTAAAGATAAGAAAATACAATATTTTTAAAAAATCAATAATATTATATTAAAAATGTTAACATAAAAATACCGGTTCTTTTCTACATAAACAATAAACTGTAGCTGCTAACTGTTTTGGATTGTAACGACTAACGTTAATGTATAACAAAACACAAGGAAGATAAGTTACTGTCTTGAGCACATTCATTTAAGAAACACATGGTAACCGACAGCGAATAATACCTTAAAATAAGTACTGTGGTTTTATGAATTAGATCCACAAAAAGCAACATATAAAAAAATACCTCTGAAATGTTGTTTCAAATTTCGCGGCACATCCGGGTTCGTTTTGACTGACTCGTTAGACTTGACGGACGCACATCCAAACACAATGAGACTCATTACTGCCACCCAGTGATGGTTTGCAGTCCTCATCTTCTTTTTGTTGTTGTTGTTTTTTATGGCAGTCATTCTACGCGAATTATGTTAAAAAGACAGTTCACCCAAACATTTTCATTTTGTTATTACTTTGTTTCAAAACAAATATGAAAACAAAAGAAAATATTTTGAAGAATGCAGGTAATTACATTAATCTGACTTTCCTGTGAAAGTCAATGGGTGCCTTCAACTGTCTGGTCAGCTTATTCATTTTTGCCAATTTTGATCCACATGCCTTATGTTTCTATAAACTTAATTGAAAATAAAGTTCCCCCCCAAAAAAACAAATAAATTCATAGTTTTAATTTAGGCTAATAAATTGTGTAACTGCAAAAAAATCTTTTGGTCTACAGATTTATGAATTTTGATATATTGTAGTGTAACCAATGACCCCATTGGACACAAAAACCGTTTAGTTTCATTCATCCTTTTAATGTGCCCCAGACTTCAAATGCAGGAGCTTCAGCGCCTTTATTCCACCCAACACAATCGTCATGACAGGGTATTTCCTCAGTGTTCTGTATGCTTCGTTTAATTTCTGGACACCTCATTCTTTTAGATTACATTTACTGTTCATCTGGATTATAATTACTAAATGAACTGTCTTTCCATTTATTTAAAAAAACACTTGTAATAAATAGAGGTCAAATCTACTCACTATGTAAAATGCATTGATTGCATTTTAAATCATTTTGATGTGGAAAAAAAACTCAGGGACAACTGATTCATGTTTAAAAAAGTCTTTATGTTATTTATTAATTCATGTTTTATATTTCTTTGACAGAAGAGAGACTTCTAAACTTGAATACGTGTTCCTCTAAATCTGTGTAAGTAACTTACATATTAATTAAACAATACATATTTCTCTTTGAATGTCCACAGAGATTTCTGAATGCACATATTAGCCTAACTCATGGACAGCCAGAGTGTTATCATGCTGTCTTTGTTGATTTATGGGCCTAATTTAAACATGGTAGCATATATACTCTTGAAAATAAAAATGCATTTTTGTGTGTCGAGAGAAGTACAGAATGCTTTTTTTGTGTGTCGAGAGAAGTACAAATATAATGTGATCTTTCAAAAAAAATAAATAAATAAATAAATAAACAGATATTAAAGCGAAAAAACATGTAATGACAGTTCTCTGTTTAGCCTAAATCTTTTTTTAAATAAAACTTGTATAAACATCTGACCTTGAAAAAAAAAGGTTAGGGTTATTTTCTCCTTTAAGGATAACTTTATGAAATTTATATAAAAAAAAATAAAAAAAATCCATATACACATAACATGTAAAATATGGTGGATTATTTCTAGGCCCTGACCAAATTTGTACATTATCTATGCTGATTTTTGGGAAAAATCTGCTGACTTTTGTTGGACATTTAAACGTAAAAATTAGCTGTGTACATGTGTACAAATAAGTGTGCATTAGTCACTGAAAGCTAATCTGACTGAAATGAAGCTCACCGGAGGGCGCTGTTCTGGATACCGCAGAGAAAAGGCTAAGGAAGACTTAAAGAGGCAGATCCTGGTGGTGGGGAGAACCAGAAGCCTATACTAGAAAAACAAGTAGCAAAGATCCACTTGCAGAGACCCATAAAGAAACATTAGAGTGACATTGTGACTGGTTATGCTGAGCTGTGATGGAGCATCCTGCTGTGGGCACTTGGAAAGTGGTAGTCTATGGCAGCAGAAGCCAGGAGGGAGGAGCTGAGTTGGAGAAGGAGGCCTACAAACAGTCGAATATCATCCTATCAGCATTCGCAGAGGAACTGCATTCCAGTGTGATGCTGAGTTACACCTTATTCGCTGGACAAAGCCTATTTTCCAAACCGCTTGTCCGGAATAGAATATTCACAGACCACACCCAGAAATCTATGCCGATCCAGAGAGAGGATCCAATAAGCAAAGCTTAATCTGGCAAAATTTCCAAGGAAGCTGCAGGTATCATGTATCAAGAATCATGTAACATTGAAGACTGAAACATTAAACACTAACAAATCTTCCCGACCCCAAACCCTTTTAAACAGTATTATATTATTAAAGAAAATAAATATTTATAATATAACAATTTAGTTGTCATAGCACAAAATGTAAAATATTAAAAGAGCGGATAAGATGGTCAAAATCCAGAGATTAAATGTTACTGGAGAAAGAACCATTACTTATATAAATTATAAATTAATAAAGTACTTTTTAATTCATATTTATTTGTATAGAGCTGATATATTTACATATCTAAAGTATCATTTTTGTAAAATACAAATACTCTATCTAGATTTAGTTTTTTGACAAATTTGTTGATAATAATTGAATAACCAATGACAGACCAAGCAGAATCCCAATAAAATAGATTTATCGGAAAGGTATAATTATTCTATGACTTATGTACAGGCATACAAATATATATTTACATTTTTAATTTCCTATATTTTAATTGAATCAACTATTATTTCATCATACCTCAAGGGTCTAATTTGATCTTTTTAGTTCAAAATAAAATCTATAACCTTTACCCCACAAATCCAAAATAATGTGTCCATAAACCCCTCATTAACAAATAGACACAAAAAAACTTTGATATTGAACATAATAAAATGTAAATGGTAAATTTACCATTTACCATAATAAAATGTCATACATCACTATTTTCCAGAGACACAAAATTAGATCTATAAACCTCAAAACTGTTTCGGCTGACTGAATCTCACAAATGTTGATATGTAGATGACATAAAAAAATTATAAATAGCATATCCATTCATCAAAAGTCCTGAGATGAGATTTTGTATCATCTAAGGTCAGGAATAATATATATATTTTAACATCTTATCCCATGTTACCAGCATATGTTAAATCAGCTACAAGTAAGTGTAGCATTAACAGCACTAACTTACTTTCTCAATATAACAAAATGTCTTTATCCTGTTGATATCTCTCCAGGTCTCTCTTGATGTCTGGATAGTCCTCCAGAACGCATTGAAAGGTGTCCACTGACAAGGAAAAGAGCTGACAGATAGTCAGAGCTTGTACTGTGTCCAAACGCCTTCCTCTTGTTAGGAGACATGAGTCTGGAAAGGCAAGGACAGAAATTATTAGGGCCCAAGACCTGAGAGGGCGCGGAGCCCTATTGTTCTTCGAAGGATTATTTATTGTTATTTTTTTAGCACACTTTTGGGCACTTTTGGGGCCATTAACATGCTCAAAAACTCTTGAAACTTTGCACATGGGTAAGCATCAGGGCCAGGCTGAAGCTGGTATACCCAGGCGTGGCAGGGCGGCTCGGCAGCGCCCCCTTGTTTAACATTAAAATGAACATCTTACCAATGAGTCTGTTTCAAGACATTGACTATATTACAAAGAATAGAGTACATAATATAAACAGATATTGCATTGACAAAGGAAACATTTATATATATATATATATATATATATCGAGTCAAACCTCCAAAGTAGTCTCCATCACACAGTTCCCTCTGGAAAAACTCATTCTCCACAAGAACCTGCCCGTGCTCGATGAAGAACATGCGGTCACCAGGAGCATTCTGCTGGATGATGATGTCACCCGCCTGGAAGACCTCATACAGCAGTTCCAGAAGAATTGCATTGATGAAGTTTATGTCACGGTTTCGGAAAATGGGAACTTTTCTCACATGGTCCGAGCACATGGTCAGCAGAATTTCCTAATAAAACCATTTAAATCATCATTTAATTATAAAGACACTGTTTTACTATTAATAACACAAGAAATCACTTCTACGAGTAATTCCAACAGTAAGCAGCACCTCTCTGAGAGATGAGGACACCCACTTCAGGACATCCTTCTCATCATACCATTTCCCTCCATAGCGAGCCTGATAGTAGTTGTTGATGCGCATACGAAGGGCTTTGGGAAGCTTCATGAAAGTCATATAATCTTCCAGATGGTTTATCTATGTACAAAACAAGCAAATAGGAAAATGGCATACACAATAACCATATAATATCTTGCTTTTTCAAGGTATTTGTTTTTCTTGTTCTTGCACCTTGTTCTTGTATGCTCTTGCTGTTATGTCCACATCAGACATCATAGCAGCAGTGTTGGCAACCATCACTGTGTACATGATGGCTCCAGACACAATGCTAGTCATGACAATCCACAGCTCAACCTCATCTAAAAACAAAACAAAACTTCAGGCATTAAAAGAAGAATCATTTGTGATTGGTGAATGATAAAAATTAGCATATTGCTAAATCGGCTGATCAAAAGTATACTCCTTGCTTGTGGGTGTATCAGAAGAACCATATGATATTGCAGTCATGTGAGAGAGGGCCCGAAAGACTCCAAAGGAGTACTTCTCTCCCACTGTGGCATTCTGACAAAAGACACAAAACAAAAAGTTGACATTAATGCATTCAATCTATCCACTAAAACCACAAAAGCAGCTCTAAAATAATGTCACATACACTATGGCTCTCTGCAATACCTTGTTCTCATTGGTCAATCACAGTGCTTTTGGTTCCAGGAAAACCGTTAAAATTCATGGAACCCTTCCATTCCACAAAAGGTTCTTTATATTGGTAAAGGGTTATATGGGTTATATTATATTATAATTTCAAATCGAATAAATGTTTTAATATAAAGTATTGATTTAAATTATCAATACAATACTTCATATTGAAACATTTATGCATTCAGTATGCATTCGGTATGCAATAGCCATATAAATCGCAGGACACTGTAAAAAATTATTGCTGTGTTTTTATTATCACAACTTAAAATTCAACATATTCTTCAAATATTGTGTTGTTTCAAGATAAAAAAAAGTTAACAAGCAAGTTTGTGCTTGACTTAAAAGGTTTGTTTACCAAAAAATGACATTTTTGTTAATTACTTGGACACTTGGACTATTTGACAATGTCTTTACTAACTTTTCTGGACCGGCAGAATGAAATTGCTTAGAAGCGAAGGAGTGAGCCAGCTCTCAGATTTCATCAAAAATATCTTATTTTGTGTTCTGAAGATGAACAAAAGTCTTACGGGGTTGGAACAAAATGAGGGTGAGTCATTACTGACACAATTTTCATTTTTGGGTGAACTAACCCTTTAAAAATTCAAGTTTATTTAACTTTAGTTTGGTTAAGTTGGATATTTAAGTAATCTCAACAAATTTTAAGTTGTTATAAGAAATTGCTGCAACATTACCAATAATGTGTTAAAAACCATGTAAAGAAATTTCTCTAAACCATATCCGGAAAATTTTCTAGACTTTCTAGAACATAGAATTTTTTGTTATACATTTCACTATTAAAATTTGCATGACTATAAAATATTATTAATTTCCATGACTTTTGCAGGGCTTGTAAGTTGAATTTATTTTCAAATTCAATTATATTTTCATAACTGTGGGAGCACCATTCTGTGTGAACGCAAACAAGTCTCGGGATTGATACCGGGATCGATGCCGGGATGGGGAGCTAGTAACATTGCATGAGTCCCGGAATGCGCCCTGTGTGAACAAAAGCCAGGACCAATACCATAAGGGGTGTGTCATAGTGATGACGCACATGTCATAGCACAGGCCTTTCTATAACCGATTCTACAGCATATGTGGAACGAGCCACTCGGCAAACCCAGTGGGGCTACTGGGGAGAATGCACTTGTCTTCATATAGAAGAGGAGTTATCAGCAGAACAGACATCTGACAGGAGTTATCATATCCTGATGTCACGTGTCTTTACCGGATCGGCACTCACAGATTCCAGAAAATCACTGAAGTGTGAATGAACCAAAATCAAACGATCCAGGGATAAATCTTGATAAATCCCACATTATCCATGTATATTCCAGAATCTCTGTGTAAAATGGGCTATACATACCATTAGATTCTCTCTTCTAACCCAGCAGTCTGAGGGAAATTCCTCAAGCATAGGTACGAAATACTGGATACAGCCATTCCAGTGGCACAGCAGGAATATCATCATAAATAATGACAAGATTCTTAGGAATACCCTCATCACCTCCAAGTTGGCATTTGAAACCTATGCGGCAGAGATTCAATATAAAAATCAAGGCAGTATTTAAAGTATAAAGTATAAAGGCAGTATTTAAAGAAATAGAAACACTTTATGAATGAGGACTTCCAATTTGCATGAACACTTTAAACAATTCAGTTGTGCTCAGATGAGATCAGATCATGTTCAAGCTATTCATTACTTACTCTCTCCACCTCATTGAAAAACCTAACTAGCCTTGACACACGCAGCAGGCGGACAAGACTGAGGATTCTCACAAACATCAAGATGCGCATCATTTTGCTGGCTCTGGATGAGGGAGAGTCACCATGGTATTGTAGATCCTGTCATGAAAAGGGCACAAGACACAAGTTTTCCAATTGAAGTGATGTAATTTCAATACAGTCAAAGGATTGTAGAAAAAGCAGATTACCGCAATAAGTAGGATATAACCAACTGGAAATGCTGCCACCATATCAGGTATAAACCAGCTCTTTAGATACCGTTGTCGAATGCTTTTCAAATCCAGAATGGCTCCCTGTGTAACATACAGAATGATTCATTGGATGCGTTTAAGCAATGGGTTATTTGTAAAGTCTAGGGCTAATCCTTACATCGCTGTCCTCATTAATGATCCCCATGCGAAAGTTAAGCCCAACGTCAATCAGGAATAGAGTGTCCGAGAACACATTAAAACCCTCCCAACCTACTCCACTGTTCCCATCTAGAAAGGCAATCTCCATTGGAATCCCAATTAGATTCAGAAATGTTATGGCCACCATACACATGATGTAGTAACTCCTGTATAAATAAGAAAAAAAAAGAGATACATTTTTTTTTTTAAAGAGCTGCATGGCATTTTTATTTTTTATTTATTTATTTTTCTTTTGCATGGCATTTCATGTGGTTTTACCTTTTTATCAAAAATATATTAGCCCATTAAAGACTAAACACTTCAGGTTTTTTATTGGTTAAATGAAGAACCTTAAACATAACAAACATGAAATATTTTCATGTCACAAAATGTTGTTCATAAAGGTTATTTAAATCACTAAAATGTTCTTCACACTAAGAAAAATGGTTCCTATGTGAAGTGTTCACTGAAAGGTTCTCTGGGGAACCAAAAATGGTACGTGCATTACCTTATACGACTGAAGGGATGGATGACGATCACGTCTCCCTCTTTCTGTCTATTGCGCTCCTTCTCCACGGCCACCTCACTACCGTAGACATACAGCGAGCGTCTGTTCAACTGAGGCAGCAATAGGCTTTTCCACCCGTTCCATCTGAAGCGTATGTGATTCTCAGGTGCGAAACGCTGCATTTTCAGACCCTGACTAAGCACCGTAATCACCGAAGCTCCTCTAACATCTCTCACCGAGCCTCTGTGACAACTTTATTTCTGGACTTTCTTTTATGCTGACCATATTATCCACTTTTCTTCTTCGCCTTCAAGCTCGCTCCCTTTCTTTCTCTCATGCACGCACATGCACAGTCACAGAGTAATTTTCCATCACAGTTTTTCTGGCTCGATCCAGAATGTAGAAGGAGATAAGTTCCAGACTTTCCATTCTTCCCCCCTGTCAAACTAACTATTGTCTCATCAACTATTCAGTATCTCTGCCTCGCGCTCACATCAGCTCAGCTCATCTGGACTGTGGGGCGGTTCTTTGACACAAGGTGGTTTTGAATATCACAAGTAGGCTATTGTCATCTGAACCAGACAGATGGTTCTGATAGAACCGGACAATGGGAGGAGATAGAATTACTTACACTCTCTTTTGTGTGTAAATGACTGTATCACAAAGAGATTCTTTCTAATGAGCACATAAAAGTGCACAGAGAATTTTGCTATTTCAAAAAGAGACAGAATACAGGTTTATCTTTTTTTTTGCAGACATTTATGCTTTTATAAGAAATCACCCAAAAATGAAAATAATGTTATCGCCCTCATGTCGTCCCAAGCCTGGGAGACCTCCGTTCATCTTTGGAAACAGTTTAAGATATTTTAGATTTAGTCAGAGTTTTCTGTCCCTCCATTGAAAATGCATGTACTATATACTGTCCTTGTCCATTAAGGAAATAAAGATAGTGGGTTAGTTAGAATTTTTTAAGCATCGAAAATACATTTTGGTCCAAAAATAACAAAAACTTCGACTTTATTCAAACTTTTGTGTCTTCCGGTTCTGTTGTCAATCCGTGTTTACGAGTCCACAGTGATGCTGATGACGTAAGACGCAGACCTGTTATCTGGTGCGTCCTTCTATTCAAGTTCAAATATGGCTGGGCAAAAAAATGCAAGTCTTCCCATGAGTCTTCCTCTGTGTCGAAATCCTTACACATGTTTGCGAAGATTGTTTTGTTTACAGTGAGTCTCCCTCAGACTGTGAATGAAGCTCTTTCGCACCAGATAACACGTCAGCAGCGTCTTACTTCAGCAGCGTCACTGAATGCGGCTTGACAACAGAACCGGAAGAGAATACAATGCTGAATAAAATCGTAGTTTTTGTTATTTTTAGACGTATTTTCCAAAAAATATTTTCCTACCACAAACTTTCCTAACTAACCCACTGATGTCACATGAACTACTTTGATGTGTTTTTATTTCCTTTCTGGACAAGGACAGTATAACGTACATAACATTTTCAATGGAGAAAACCATAGACAGTATAAGAACAGAAAACCCAGATACTGTTGTTGTTTTTTTATTATTTGTATTTGTTTTTATTTTTTTATTTTAGTGTTTTGTAAATGGTAAATGGACTGCATTTATATAGCGCCTTCATAGACCTAATGGCCATTCACCCATTCATACGCTCATTCACACACCGACGGCGGTGTCAGCCATGCAAGGCGCCAGCCAGCTCGTCGGGAGCAGCTGGGGTTAGGTGTCTTGCTCATGGACACCTCGACACTTGGCCAGGTGGAACCGAGGATTGAACCACCAACCTTTCGGTTCGTAGACAACCCACATGAACCACTGAGCCACTGCCGCCTTGTTGTTTTGAGTTCCTTCAGTCTATTTGTTCTCCCTTGCCATGTGAATAGTCTAGAGGATGTCTTTTTGGATGATGTGCGGGAGGTGTGACTCTTGGTTTGTAATACAATAATATTTATATTTTAAACAACAAAAAAAAAAAAAAAAAACTTTCTATTCTATCCTATTATATGTATTTTATCCTATTATATATTCCTATCCTATCCTATGCTATCCTATCCTATCCTATTCTATTCCTATTATATTTTTGTCTGCGGTATAAGTGAACATATCAAACACCTTGTGGAATAAAGGTGAATTGCACTTACTTAATTGAATGGGAAAACAGGCATTCTTTTATAATTGTATTATTTTTTTCTTGTTATATTATTTATAATGAATTGATTGAGGAGTACTAAGAAGGTTGCTGTCTAACTTAAAAAATAATAATAATGAGGAGTAGGTAACTATGCTTTTAAGGGTTAATATGGGTAGACTATATCTGGAAAAACTGGTGTGTGTTTTTTGTTGAGGGTGTGTTACATCAAAAACAGACACCAGACAGCTGACTAGATCTCAGTTAAACTGCGAGTACAGTATTATATTGCACTGGAAGGCTATGTTTATGAGAGTCACAATACAGTGTTGAATTTCAAAGTGGTATTCAAGTATTGCAACTGGAAACTGATCTTACATTCTCAGAAGGAAACAAACACCTAAACTACATTAATTTGTTGCACTCACATTGCATTCAGTTGTCAGTGGGTCAATAAATTCATCAAATCAGTTACTGGTTTTATTGACAAGTTAATCTGTGAAGCTTCTGTCTATTTCAAATACTAAACAATGCATCCATTCAACAATTTTATCTATATATCTAATATAATTATTATTATTATTATCATTAATAACCAATTTGCCAAATTACTTTAAAACATCTAAAATTATATAAAGGTAGCTAAATTATATACCTATAATGGAATCATGTCTGAACAGGAACTACATACATTACAAATAAATTATGGTCACATCCCAACAGTTTTGACACTGTTATGTTGTTTAAAAATGTAAACTGCTACAAAAGCTCAATGCTGTGTGAATAATTACACATCTGATTATAGCCTAAGCTTGATAAATTATGTGTAATTAATCGGACAACACTTTCAAATGTCACGTTTGAGGTATGCTATAGCTTAGCAAAAAAAAAAAAAAAAAAAAAAAAAAAAAGTCACATTTTATACTCATAAATAGAGTACGACATATAAACAAAAATATACTAAACACCCAGCAGAAATTCCTGGGGGAATCCATGCTGCGTTAGCGTTCTCTGTTGGCCTACAAATTCGTCATGAAAAGTTCTATTTCTGCTGCTCATATCATGCTGAACTTAGCAGAAAATGCAGAGAAAATGCAATACAGACATTTTATTTTGTGTTATAAACACAATATTTTGCTATATAAGCTGTTACAGTGCACATCTAAAAAGTACATCAGTCAGATTGACGCAAGTTGCAGACTTAGTGACGCATTCAAAACATCACTGCTACACTTTGTAGTTCTGCTTCAGAATTAGGCAGATTTGGGTTCTGTAATCAAATCATGTATTTTTATTATCCTCATGTAAAATTCATTTTTAGACAATAACTCTGTCATCTAAAGCTCTCTCCAGATAAACATTTTTTTAAGGTGAAAATCAAAGGAAATAGCCTACTCAATTGAGTAAACCTGCTATCTGTATAGAGATGTATCTCTTTTACACTTTAGAAACAAACTCTATGTGCTCCTTTTGCATTTTATTTGTAGTTCTGCTCGTTTGCTGAATATGTAACCTAAAGTGTGAAACAGGTCTATAGTCAAATAACTTTTGAGCAGTTCTTGAAAACAGCACAGGCCAATATAGTGCTGTGCTAAATAAACATGAAGTTGAGAATAAATTTGCACTCGCACTTTCATAGCAGAATTACAAGCCTTGACACAGAGTTTGCCAGGTCTGTCACTCCTGAATTTTCCTGTCCTTATGTGTGAGCGCGCAGCTTCAGTTACCCTCATCTGCTAAATGCATTATGTTTCGTTTCAGTGTCAGGTACATTCATGCTACAGGTTTTATCTTTTGTTAAGCACATGGGTTGAGTGTTTTCTTGTATTTTTGCTTATTTTTGTATGTAAATAAAGCGCCTTATCCCTGCACCAAACCTGACAGAATTCCCAGGAAAAAAAATTATCCCATCAATATCAGAAGTATATCAGAAGCTGTATCAGTATGAACAAAAATTGCATTGTAACTAAGTTGTAAAAATGTCAAGAAAAGTTGTGTGGATTTGCCTTCATATATTGACTAAAGTTTGTTAAAGTATTTTTTATAATACCCATCTGACATAAATTATGAGATAATGTCATTACTAAACCATTAAATATTTTATTCATTTATATTACAAATTACAATACCAAAATCTTAGCAAATTATTAAATGATATTTTAAATGGCTTTTATTCTGCACAAGACCTTTATTTGGTTTGTCCGGCAATCGCCATGTTGTTATTCCCTATTTTTAAAACCGCGTTTGATTTTAGCTCTAGCCATTAAAATGTATAACATTAAATCATATTATCATATTTAGGTAATAAATGGCTATAGCTTAGTTGTTAAATTAGTTTTAATGTTTGTTTTAATGTAAGACCGTAACCCGGAAGCTATGGAAGACACTTCCGCGTTCTCGGGGTTATGCTGTTATTAATTTGACAGCAAAGAGGTTGTGTAAGAAAGGACGCACGTGAGCGAATCAGTCACTTCATCATATTCATTAAGTAAGTCAACGGTTTTCAGTTAAATGTTTTTATTTAATTTGATCTTACCTGACAGCACGTTTTGAATAACGTTACCTCCGATTAGCACAGCATCTTTGACAGCGAGGTAAAACAGCTGTAATGTTATTTCAACGAAACTAGTCGTTAAACAGCAGAGGACATGATGTAACTTGTAATATGGTGGCTAGTTTGGAGCCCGCTGCTGGTTGTTCACAAATCACGTAGTGTTGAAACTGGAGTTTAGAGCTGGACTAAATCAATGTGTCCCCTTGCTCTTTTGTTTTTATCAGACAAGTGGAAATGTCTGGCCTGTCAGCAGCTAGTGTGGAGGCTTCACCAGCAATAGAGGGCACAGAAGAGAAGAAACCTCTGAAACCATGCTGTGCGTGTCCTGAGACCAAGAAAGCACGAGATGCCTGGTGAGGAAACTTTTGTATATTTAGTTCACGCTTTAAAGGGATATTACACAATACAAATGAAATGCCGTTGTTATAATGTTGTCCCAAACCTGCATGACTTCTTTTGTGAAGCCCAAACTGGGAGAAATACGATTGTGCTGCTCAGTAAATAAATACATTACAGAAAATATGTTTTCAAATATAGAAAAGGATGTAAATCACCATAAAAAGTATAGTCGATATTGCTTGTACACTACTTTTGAGGACTGATGAACTAGAACCTTGTATTGTGGCTGATGCAATTCTTAATTTCTCCTGCGTGAACATCAAACCGGTTTAGTGCGACATACATGAGGGTTAGTAAATGAAGGCCAAATGAATATTTTAAGTAAGCCAGTCCTGTGCATTTAAGCAAGATACTGTGCAGCTATGACATTTTATTGTCTTCACTGCAGCATAATTGAAAAGGGAGAAGAACACTGCACAGGTCTCATCGAAGCACACAAGGAGTGCATGAGGGCGCTTGGTTTTAAGATATAATACCACCATCATGTTCAAGTTGAGTGAATGGTAAGTTTATTTTCTAATGACAATAGCCAGTCTTACGAAGGAGTGATATTTCTTAAACAAATTTTTCCTCTGACTTTGAATATAGTGCAAAACTCATAATACTTTTTTTGTGATATATATATGGCTTTTTTTTTTAATTCGACAGCCTGGTTTTCATGTCTTTGTT